AATATCTTTTTTGAGCAAAACCACCAGTTCCACACCCAGCTCAAGGCCATGAATGTTTGAATTTGTTATTTCTCCGGGATCCCATGACTGAATTCTTAATCAACTCCTGAGCCATTGGATCATAAACTAAAAATCAAGCCTCAACAAGATAACTATCACACGAAAAGAACATGAGCCTCAACAAGATAACAATAACACAAAAAGAACATGAAAAAAAATAGGTGTTTAAAAAATCTGAAAATAACTTTCTGATATTCATTTTCTTATAGATACACAAACAACATTACACTTAGTAGGACAAGAACTAAATGTGTCAAAGGACTTTCAAAGACCAAAGTAAAACATAGTGAATTATTTGTAAAAAATAAATGAAGAATTAAAGATTAAAAAAGAAAAATCCATCCGCCCTATGCCTTGAACTCTACTCCAGGCCTAAAATGGAATTGTGGTAGAGGACACAGCACCCCTCTGGCCAGAAGGACCTGTCTTTTTCCTGAATCTCTAAACTTTGTACTGAGGCTCAAAATTTTAAAAAAAACGGGCTGGCCCGGTGGCGCACTCAGTAGAGTGCGGTGCTTGAGAGCGCCACAGCGCTCCCGCCGAGGGTTCGGATCCCATATAGTGACTGGTCCGCTCACTGGTTAAGCGTGGTGCGGGTGCGACACCGAGGGTTGCGATCCCGTTGCCGGTCGCGGTACGGGCGCAGCACCGAGGGTTGCAATCCCGTTACTGGTCACGAAAAAAGACAAAAAGGGAAAAAAAATTAAAAAAATAATTAAATAAATTTAAAAAGAAAAAAAGGAAAGAAAGAAAGAAAAGAAAAGAAATCAAACCTAAACCTTCTGTCTCACAGGTAAGCTGATATAACCAAATGCCAGTGTTTTATGAAGGTAAAAGGGAACACACATGATGGTGGTTTTCCCAGCGCCATTTGTGCCCAGCAGTGCGGTGATCTGGTCTCTGTGGAAGGTGAGGGTGAGGTCTTGGATGGCCACCTTGTGGCCCTGGTACTCCTTGGTCACAGCCACCAAGGAGACTCCCGGGGGGCCTCCTTCCAGTTCCCCTTCCTTGTTCTGTGGTGATGGCCCTGTGAGGAAGATGCAAATTCATCATGAGAGTGCTTCAAAAGCCCTGAAAATAATGTTTGCTTGTATCAATTCAGTGTCCTCCTTTGCAACTGAATTCTAGCTCTGTGAAACATGTAAAGCAACTAAAAAATCTTTCTTTACCAACAGCAAGGAGCAAATCATATTATGGTAAAAATTAAGTGAAATTGCTGATTTCACAAAGTTTTGAACCCTTATGATAACCATTTTGTACAAAAAATAAAAATAAAGACACACACATGTATGTGTTTATGTACAAAGAAAAAGCAACAGGCAGGTTAGTTACACACCAAAATGCCCATAAGAAATGGTATTCTGAGGAGGGGAGAGTTGATAGGTGCTGGCTGGTATCTTCCAAATTTCCTAAAAGATTTATATTTTACTTTTTTAATAAGAAAAATATTTACTTACTAATATTGACTCATAGTATAAAACCACCAGAATGGGAGCTTGTTTATCTCTGGGTGGCACATCTGTTTACATGGAGATCCCTTCTGAAGTTGTCCTTTTGTGGAAGCACCCGTGTGCCTGTGTCCACAGGAATGGGCTGTGACTGAATGTATAGGGATAGGGACAGTCTTGCCCCATCTTCTGAGAATCATATTACCCATTTTAAGTGGTAGTGATATTCTCTTTCACAGAAGCACTGAATATGCTGGCAGGTGTGAAAACACATGAAACATTTTAAAGTTCATTAAACCTGGTAGTTGCCCACCTTTGTTTTTGTTTTTTGTTTTTTTTTACACACATTCATTTTTGAACTAAAGCTTCAATTTTGTGTATTATAATGCATTCACAAATGCACACAATACACAGAGAAGAGGACTCTAAATCACAGGTAACATGAACATTCTGGGGCTCCTGGGGCTCCTGGCTTCACTGAATAAATATCACCAGGGATGCTGCCTTACAGCTTGGTCCTGCCACTGTTTCCAAGCCCAGGACAGCCTGAAAGCAAGTCTCCAGGAATCAGCGCACAGTTACAAAGGCTCAGGAAGAAATGGAAAACAAAAGTCAAAACTGACCAGAGGGAGAAAACACGCATCCAGTAGTGCTGCTCCTTACAAACCTTTATTGCCAAAGTCCTCACTGAAGAACAGACTGGAACCGAGAGGGCGCTGCCATTTCTCCAGCACGCCGCTCACACTCTCCCAATACAAAGCAGTGAAGGGGAAATACCATGGTTTCCTTAAACCAAAAGTTCCTAGAAAATGGGATATGATTAAATCAGGTTAATTATGTATCTCTTTATATGGAGACTGTGTAATAGAATATCTTACCTAATTAATATAAAATGGTATTGCATGTTAATATTTTCAGTACACATCCCACATATAAACCAGTGACACCCTGAGGGATGGTGCATTAGCCCCAAAGCAGGTCCTACACGCCCTCTTGGACTGACCAGGGCCATCTGCCAGGGCCCTCTCCCATCTACTTTCCCAAAAGGGCTTTGAGTCAGTTTTCAATAAACATTGTTTGAATAATTACTGAACATTCTCCAGGTAAAGTCTCGTCCCTGGCCCATGACCTCTCTATTTTGCTGCTATTCTTTCTTGGTCTGTCTTTGATGTTTGCAGGATTACTAGACATGAGAAAGAGCAGAGGCGAGTGCATGAAAGAATGAATCAATTAAAAGTTGCACAAAGTAGAATAATTCATAATGCTAACATTCCCTAAGAAACATATCAGCATGCTTCAAATGTATTTTCCAAATTGATTTCAGAGTAAAGGGGATATAATTATTAACTCTTCCCAATTTTCTGAACACACCCATCCTAGTTTAAGTTTCTTACTGGACGCACCTTACTTAAAGGCCTAAATTGTACAAGTGAAGGGAATAAAAAAATCCTACTTTAGCACTTTGACAATCCAGCAAAAGAGAGAGACGCAAGCCCCACACATTTCAGTCAGAAGATTCGAAGAGATATTCTCATAGGAAAGTGCATGGACACACCACCTTCCGAAAGTGAAGGGAGGGCAGCTACCAGCAGGTTTAGTGTTGACCACTGGCTATGGGCTGAGATGAGCTCTCCCAAATTCATATGTTGAAGTCCTAACCCCATTACTTCAGAATGTGACTGTACTTGGAGATATGGTCGTTAAAGAGGTAGTGAAGGCAAAATAAAGTCAGAAGGGTGAGTCCTACTCCAATATGACTGGTGTCAAAAGGAGATTAGGACACAGATACCCACAGAGGGATGGACACGTGAGGACATAGGGAGAAGACTCCACGTGCAAGCCAAGGAGAAAAGTCTCAGGAGAAGCCAACCCCACTGACAACATGGATGAAACTGGAGGACATTAAGTGAAACAGGCCAGACACAAAAAGACAAATATTACATGATACCACTTATATTAGGAATCTAAGATAGTCAAATTCATAAAAGCAGAGAGAGGAATGGCAATTGCCAGGAGCTGGGGAGATGGGGAAATGAGATGTTAGTCCAAGAGCACAAAGTTTCAGCTCTACAAGACAAACAAGTCCCAGAGATCCACTGAACAACACTATGCCTACAGCTAACAATATTGTACTGTACACTTAAAAATTGGCTAGGAGGGTAGGTCTTATACTGCATTCTTTAAAAAAAAAGAAGAAAAGAAAGAGAAAGAAAAAAAAGAGAAAGAGGGAGGGAGGCAGAAAGGAAAACTGCCTCCACATTTATGCCTATAACAGACACACCCACATTTTACTTACAGTTCTGTTCCTTCAGTCCAGGAAGAACAGAAACCAAACCTCTCACATCTCTTCTTAAGGAAGAGTGGAAAGAAAAGGTCATTCATCACCGAACCTACCAAATTAAATTTTTCCAGCCAATGTTAATGCTAGTTTGCTCCCAAACCGTGTCTCATCCTGCTATGTCCTTGTGTGCACCACTGTCCCCCTCCAAAATATTTTGGCTTCTTTTTCTTTTATTAAATTATTTGGCATTTTGAAAAATATAAAACATAGTTAATTTTCGTAGTTTGCTTGAATTACAAAAGAAATACATATTCAACATATTTAATGCAAAGAAATTGAAAACAGAAAAAACATGACACATAATTCCACATAAACCGCAATAAGTTGGCACATGGACCAAATTGTGCATGTTTTTTAATTAAATGGAATATTGTTATGCTGTATGCCTTGTTTCACAGACAGCTGTGGTCCCACGGCAGCATGTAATCTACTTTATTCCACATCAGTATATATTCCTGTAAAATAGAATTCAATAGTTGAATGCTATTTCACAATAGTCCAAACTATGTATATGTAACAGAAGTTACCTAATCAGTTTGCTATTTTTAAAAATATAGGTTTGCCAGATTTTTTATGTGCATATATTTTACATTTTTATGGTCAGTTTTTTAAATTTTTGTGTCAGAGAATAAACATTTTAAGAATTTTTTATACCTATTACAAATTCTACACCCTATAATAGTTGCAATAAACATTAATTATTTTTATCATATTTGCTCATTGGAGAAGGAAAAAATTTCTGTATATTTGCAATACTATGCTCTCATATTACATTAAAACTTTTCCCAAGTTTATTAAATAGAAACTTTTTTAATGAATGACTTGTTCGAGCTGTTTCTTGGTATTTCTATTGAGATATGTTCTTTTTTAGTTTGATTTGAGAATTTTAACTTTTTCTTTCATATAGACATTAGTTTTAATGTTTGTAAACTGCCCTATAATTTTATTTATTTGATATTTCGAAATATTGATTTGAATTCTTACAAAAGAAATGCTATTGATTTGTATTATTTGTGTCTTTGGCGTTATGTTTTAAAAGGCCTTCCCACCTCTAAAATCATATATTTCCTATTTCTTAAGTATTTTTAATGATATTTATTTCTGATGAATTTATGAATGAATTTAACTTTTTTCTTCCAAATAAACTGATAGAATTATGTATTCATCCCATTGATTAAAAATGCCAACTTAACACAGAGTAAGTTGTTATATATACTTGGATTGGTCTGAACTCTCTAATCTGATCATTTGCTCTATTTATTATTACATGATTTAATCCTTGTAAATTTATAGTGAGGTTTTTATATATTTAGCACCCACCAGTCTCCCTATTACTTTCAATAATTCTTGGACAATATCATTAATTTATATTTCTAGCTATCCTTTAGAAACATTTCATCAATTAAAAACAAATTCTTTTTTGGCATTTGTTATTTAAATGATTTATGAGAGTCTGACCATATTACATTAACATAATTTTACATATTAAGTGTTACATAATTTAAAATTATAGAAATTTATACATTAATCTGGAGAAAATCAACATACTTAAAATAATGAATATTCCCATTTAGGAGTATGGTCTCCCTTTCCATTTACTCAAATCTATTTTATGCTAATCAACATTTTTTAATTTTTTCATTTGATATATATAATTTTTTCATCAGATTCATACTGAGATACTTTATCTTACTGCTATTGAAAATGAAATTTCCTCCCCATTACACACGCTATTGCTGACACGCAGCAATGCCATTGATTTTTGTGTATGTTTATCTGTGATCAGTCATCTGATTGGTTCACCATTTTTTCAGTTGATTCTCTCAAAATAGCTACAAGTAGTGATGGTTTTGTGTCTTCTTTTCGATATCTCTGATTTGTTTTGTTTTGTGTTCTCTGTGGCTATAGTTTTCATCTCCACGTCAAACTTCACATCCACCATGGGCACCTCCAGGGCCACTCTGAGCTCAGAATAAGAGAGACAATGCCTGCCTGTCCTCAGCCTCAGCCCCCATCACCCCAAAGCACACCCTCCTGCTGCGGTGTGACCACAGATGCCACCAGGAGCCAGCTTCCCGGCACCCGTCAGGAAGGACAGCTCTCCGTAGCTGGACTAGTGCCCCTCTGGGTGTACTGCCCCTCCCTCCTCTTGTCACCTACTCGGGATGCCATCCCAGTCCTCCTCCCTCTTGCTTTTACAGAGACTGGATCATCCTTTCCAGCACACAGCAGCTAGGCCACCCATCTTAAATAATAATAACTATAATAATAATGATCACACCTGAAAGCCCACTTCCCTTGCCAACTACAGCTACTGCTCCATTTCATTCAAATGTCACTCAGTCATGCTCCAAAAGCTACAGAGCTGGAACATGACAGTTTTCTCTGACCGGTTCTCTCTTCTTCTGACTCTTTCTGTCTCTGTCTGCCCTTTGTCTTTGTCTCTCTGTCTCTCTATTCTTTTGTTCTCTATTCCTCTCTCTCTTTCTATCTTTGCCTGTCTGTCTGTCCATCTCCTGTCTATCTTTGTCTACCTATCTCTCTGTCTCTCTGTCTCTTTCTCTTTTTCTCTCCCTCTCCCTGTGTATCTCACTGTCTTTTTCTGTCTCTCTCTATCTCCCTCTTTCTGTCACTGTCTTTTTCTCTCTGTCTATCTCTCTGTCTCTATCTCCCTGACTCTTACTCTCTGTCACTCTTTCTCTGTCTCTCTCCATTTTTCTTTTTCCTGGATCTTGCTCTGCTGGAGCTGGACCAGGGGCCCCCTCACTGAAAATGCCCAGAAGGCCTGTTGAAGCAGCTCTGCTCCGGCCTGACTCAGCTCGCTTCTCTGTCTCTAGTCTGGGCAGAAGGATTTGCTTTTATAGAACTTTGGTCAACTGAATAGAATTCCATGGCGGAAATTGGGGGAAACCCCAGCTAAGTATCCAGAGTTCCTTGCTTTACCATAATATATAAAAATATTGCCCTGGATCCTCACGCCTCAGGTGCTGATGGTGGAGGGAAGAGCACATCATCCTGGGTCCCTGCACATGTTTTATCTTCATCTCAACATTGCCGAGGGCAGCCTTTTTGGGCAGCCAATCCTTCGTGCCTATAGGATTCTTTTCTCTGTCCTTGGAGTTTAAGACATCCACTGTTTATATCTAGATATGGGTTCCTATTAATTTTGGATGTTATGCAGTTAGTGCTTACCCTGCAAATAGAGGATTTTCTCCTCCTTGGCAAATGGCGGTTCTGTTGTGCCTCTGTTCCTCGAGACCCCGCTCCTCAAGGAATAGGACTTCCCTTCCTGGTATTCCTCAGCTTCCTTTCAACATCCCACTGCTCCTCATCCAGTTCCCTTGAAACCTTGGCCTTCTCAGCTCATCTTTTTAAAATCTCTTGTCTCCTAGAATCCACCTTTTCCTGAATTTTATTCAAAGTACCCAGATGATGCAATCTAAGTTTTTCCAAAATAAATATTACATTTATGCCTTCTATCTACCTCTTAGAGGCCATACTTTCCTATTTTTATGTAAAATAATCTTTGCAATGATCTATATTATGTATATGTGTACCTATCCTTAAGCAATGCTTGTGCTCTCCAAGTCTGGAATGTGTTTCACAAACAGAAGGAACTGGTTGGTGTTTGGTTTTCATTGCTGTTGCTGCTGTTGTTTTGTATCTCTCCATTTTCTTTTGCCCACGATTAGAATCTTTTTAGTTTTTAATTTTAAAGGTCAGATGCCAGTTGCTTTGAAAAGTATACAGCTAGAGTCATAAGTAATTTCAGCAAGAAAATACAATATCATCAAAATGCTATTTCTAAAAAATAAGATAAAATAAAAAATTTTTAAAGTGACATTTTGTCTCTTTTTGGTCTGAACCAAAAATGTAGACGTATGCATGCCTCTTTCCCTCCTAACACAGCAGGGAAAATCCACCACCCTTGGTGGCCCTCACTGAAATTGCTGTATTCATTCTCCAGGCTCCAGTGTACGCCTGACCCACCAGAGAAAAGGTGTGCCACGTCTGCAGAAACCCCACGCCCATGATACCCCTGACAACTCTGGTCTGGAAGCAGCCCCAGGCCCCAGCCTACCCAGTCCGGTTGCCCACGTGTGGCTCCCCTGCAGGTTCTAACACCTGCTGGCCTGCTGCTGGCTGACAGCTTGGTCCCTTTGCTTCTGCACTGCCTGACTCTCTGCCTGAGTCTGACCCTGAACCCCTGGCCTTACCTCTTGGTGTCCAGGGACCACCAGCACCATGGACCCCCAGACTCTCTCACCCTCTCCCCTTCATGCCTACCTTCCTCAAAGACGCGATCCTGGGAACCAAAATCTTTGCTGGGTAGTTGACAGGTGCCCACTTTTTGGGGGGCTGCTTGGTGGGCTTCGTAGTTTTTCATCCCACATTCCAACCTGCCTAGCCCATCATATGGCCTTTGACCTTTCACTCGGGATGCAGAAGCACCATGTTTTCTCAAAAATGCACAGATCTTTTTAAAATATGTCCTAATATTTCCCCTTCCAGTACCTTCCTAAAAGAATACATAATTATTCTTATATGCATATTTGTTGGTTCAAACTGTTTTTATGTTTATTTTGTTATCCAACGAAGTGCAGAATTCTTACCAGGAATTAAGTTTCTGAAGTACCATCCACAGAAAAAATAAAGGCTTGAATCAAACAGAATCATCCAGCAAACCCAGCCAAATGTCATGCCCCCTTGTTCCAGAGCCTGGTACATATTACTCCACTGAATCCCTGGCAGGAAGGAAAAGGTCAGAGTTAGAGCTGCACATCCTCTTTTACTGTAGATTTTGGTAAGATGAATTCATTCACTCTGGAAGCTCAAGTAAAGCTGAATGCAGCAAAAACAAAAGGAAGGTCAACACCACTGGCCATAACCCTCCAAATGAAATGTTAGCTTGTGTAAACTTACATCTACTTCAATCTTATCAGGTGGGGTGACCATTAACAAAGTTTTAATATCTAACATTTAAAATTTTTTAAAGGTCACTTTACTTATATCTAGTTTTATTTATGCAATTAAAAATTTTTTCAATTTAGAAAAATAGGCATGTTTAAAAAAAAAAAAAGGAAAAAGGTAACAGAGTCCTTGAGAACCAAAACTCTAAATTGTGTAATTCTCTGTGCTATTAGAAAACACATAAAAATTGGGCCAAGCCCGTGGCGCACTCGGGAGAGTGCGGTGCTGGGAGCGCAGCAGCGGTCCCGCTGCGGGTTCAGATCCTATATAGGGATGACCGGTGTGCTCACAGCACTCACTGGCTGAGTGTGGTGCAGCCGGTCTCCAAAAAAGGACGAAAAAAAAAAAAAAAGAAAGAAAACACATAAATAAAATATATAAGATCTGGGCTGGAAAAAAAATCTGGGTTGGGAAAGTATCATTATTTTCTTATAATATGTTTCTAACTATTGCTGCATTAAAATATAATTTGTTTAAGAAAAGTATTCCCCTTTTTAAATTTTCCAAAATAAAATACATGTTTTAATCACTGTATACCTAGAATTTGGAACCAAAATATTCAATATTTTGACCATTTTCTTCTATATCTTCTTTATTTGATTTACTTTAAAGATAAGTTTGAAGAATACAGGAGAAATTCAGGATTACTCACTTGTTAAAGGACATGTTAACATGTCTTGCTAAGACAGACTAAGTTTTACTTAGGGGTGTGTTTTGCCTGTATGTCCTTAGAAAAACCTTCACCCCCCCAAGCCATATAAACATCTAAGAAATATATGTCTGGTTTGGTTTAGAATTTTAGTTGCCAAAATCTCACTATAAGTGAAAAATGCTGCCAACGAATTTTTTAAAAATCATTCAGAGATAAAAATATATTTTAAAATAGTGGAGATAATTGTGCTCTATTCTATGCTAGTTAGACCTATTTCTGGATCTTGATTGTCAGAAAGGATCCAGAAAATCTGGAGGTAAAGGTAAGAGGTGGCAAATATGTGGACAGCTATCATTAGAAAGAGGGAACCAGAAAGAGGGAACTAGAAAAGTGGGTAAAGAATCCAGGAAGACAGATCCCAATTCAATAACATTCTAACAGATGAGCATGCGCACCCCATTCTCGGAAGAATTTGGAGGGTCACTAAGCTCACCACACATCAGAGGTGGTATAGGCAAGACCCAAGCATTGGCTGGGTGGCTGACCTGGATGCCATGATTTTTCTTCATTGTTCTCAGAACTAGGGCAACTAGATGGTGGAGGAGTTTTCTTCAGAGAAACCAAACATCAGGATCTCATGCCAAATGTTCCACTTCTTAAGGAAGACTTTCTACTGTATCACTTGCAACACAACTATGAAATTTCAGAAATCTGAATCATTGAGAGTCACTTTTTAAAAATGTATCCTCTTACCTGCCTCTTGTCCTTCCAGGAATGTAATAAAAAATACTCCTTGTCCAAAGGCGGTTGTTGAGAGCAAGCACTGCCCACACATGGATGGAGTGAGGGGAAAAACATCACGTTAGTGTTTGATTGGGACCACGGAAAATCCAGAGCAGTAAATTCAGAAAGAGAAGCCTAGATGTCTTCCA